AATTACCATGTTTCTCTTTTATTAGTGTAGATTGGCATATATATATATATGTATATATATATCATACAGATACATATGTATGCCAATATTCACAGAAAAAAATACATCTATCTATCTACCTCTGCCACCTCCCATACCCCACCCACACCCCAGTGAATATGAAATAGCAGTATTCACATTTTGGATCAAAACAACTGGACAGAATCTTATGAGAACTATGTATCTTTTGTTCACTTGTTTCTTCTTTCATTTATTCAGTCATCCATGAGTCAACAAGCATCTACTGTTTTGTACAAGCATTATTTTAGGTTCTGTGGATACAGAGGCTTTTTATTTATTGGCAGCTATTACTAACCTTTTTAAAATAGTTAAAATGGGTAATAGCAACAAGTTTAGTTTAATTAGATCCTAGATCAGTGATGGCGAACCTATGACATGCGTGTCAGTGGTGACACGCGAACTCATTTTTTTGGTTGATTTTTCTTTGTTAAATGGCATTTAAATATATAAAATAAATATCAAAAATATAAGTCTTTGTTTTACTATGGTTTCAAATATCAAAAAATTTCTATATGTGACATGGCACCAGAGTTAAGTTAGGGTTTTTCAAAATGCTGACATGCCGAGCTCAAAAGGTTCGCCATCACTGTCCTAGATGGAGAATTTTGTGTCAGATCCTGAAAGGGGGTATACATCATGTTGGGGCAGTTATCTTGAGGGCAATGGGGAACCTTGGATGGGTTTTACATGTGGGGGTGCCTTGATCTAACTTTGCATATTAGAAAGCTACAGTATGGAAATGAAAAGTAAATAAATAGGAGTACCCTTCACCTATACCCTCCCTCCAGACCCCTCCATACGCATAGGCTGTTATTTAGCCACCATTCATGTATTCAGTGCCTCTTAGGAAAGACAGATTCCTCATGTGTGCCTTTGTGAAATTTCATAAGCAAATGCTTCTAGATCAGAGTAAGAAGATGACCAAACCAGTTAATACCACTAGCTTCTTAATCTCATCATATTGTAATTAATTCTATGCTATCACCTATGCTATTTTCCAGTTCAGCATATTAGAAAGCTACAGTATGGAAATGAAAAGTAAATGAATAGGAGTACCCTTCACCTATGCCCTCGCTCCAGGCCCCTCCATACGCATAGGCTGTTATTTAGCACCATTCATGTATTCAGTGCCTCTTAGGAAAGACAGATTCCTCATGTGTGCCTTTGTGAAATTTCATAAGCAAATGCTTCTAGATCAGAGTAAGAAGATGACCAAACCAGTTAATACCAGTAGCTTCTTAATCTCATCATAATGTAATTAATTCTATGCTATCACCTACGCTATTTTCCAGTTCACGGACATTCCAATGGAGTATATGGTTGACCTTTTACCTCAGAGGCATCTTCTTTTCACTTCTCTAAACCCTTTCTGATGAAGTAGCCAGGTAGAGGTCATTACCTTTGCAACTGTGAAGGCTTGTAGTACAGTTCAAGTGAGATTTCCTTCTGCGGTTTAAAGAATTCTTCTTACACTAAGGATCTATACTTTGGGGTTGCTCTTTTTGTTTGTTTTGTTTCCATTTCTTCTGTTGATGATGAAGACTTTGTTTTTTAAATGTCTTGGAAGCAGCTACTGAATTTTCACTCGAATGGGTTAGGTATCTCTATTTGTAGGATATATAGACACTACAACTCAGTGGGTCC